ACACACGTTTAAGTGTATCACATGATCCTATCATTCCATTTCATGGTTGAGGCCACTGAGGCCCAGAGAGGGGCGTGCACACGTGCTAAGTTCCTTCTGTCATGTCTGACTCTTTGCGACCCCATGGACTGAAGTCCGCCAAGCTCCTCTGTCCATGGGATTCTCCAGGCAAGAATGCTGGAGTGGGTTGCCATGCTCTCCTCCAGGGGATCATCCCAACCCAGGGATCACACCTCCATTTCTTGCATCGGCAGTCAGGTTCTTTACCACTAGCACCACCTGGGAGGCCCCAGAGAGGGAGAGTGCCTGCTGATGGTCCCAGAGCCGGTAAATGGGCTTCAGTCTTGTGAGGTTCTCTGTGATTGCAGTCCCAGAGCTGTCACCCCTCTTTGCCCCTGGCAGAGTCCCGGTGGTACAACGTCTAGTTTAGTGGGGCAGGTGCAGTTACTAAGCCTGGACAAGCCTCTCTGTTTCTGTGGAGTTGTTTTTCCAGCCTGGTCTCCTGAGACTTTTCTCCTGCAGGAGCCACACCCTCGAGGCTGCTTGTTCAGAACCTGACTCAAGGGGCGGGGCCTAGGTGTCTGGTATACCTATTAGCAACCTGAGCACCAGAAGAAAAAAAAAATCCGCCTTTGCCACTGTTAGCTCAGGAGAGGGACATAAAGCCCCATCTTGCTCTCATCCAAGCAGTGGTGGTGGGAAGGCAGAGAAGGCTATGCCAGGCTGTTCTGTGCCTTCACCTCCTTCCTCCTGGGACATCATCTAGCACAGCCCTTTCTCATGATGGCCCCGTTTCATTGTGATGGAAGTAGGGTTGCTGGGTAAAACACAGCACACCCAGTTACATTTGAATTTCAGATAAACATTGAATCAATTTTCAGCATAAGTATGTCCATGTAATATATAGGACACACATATTAAAAATTATTTGTTATCTAAAATTCAAATTTAACTGTGCATCTGGGCTTTTTTGGTTCATTTTGCTTCACTTGGTTTTGTTTTGCTCAATCTGGCAACCCTAGGGGTGACATTGTCCCCACGCAGTGTACATGGCAACTGAGAGCCAGAGAAATCACAGAGCTTGCTCAGGGTCCCTCAAGGCCCTGGTCAGGCCTGGATTTGAAGCCAGGTCTCTTGGAATCCTCTGCCATCTGCATAGATAGCAAACAACCTTAGTGACTTCCTCTGGGTGGTTTGAGAAAGCCCTAAAATAAAATAAAAAACAGTTCTGGCTTCCACTTGCCTGGTAATGTAAATATAAATGGGATACTTAGCAGTCACTCACACCCTACTGTGAAATAGACATTTGGTGACTATTGAGTGGGAACAGTCCCTGGCAGCTGTGACTGGGGAGAATTGATGAAGGAAAGTGTCTTGGCCTATTTGGGTTGCTACGACAAAATTACTGGATGGCTTATAAACCACAGAAATTTCTGTCTCACAGTTCTGGAGGCTGGAAGTCCAAGATCAGTTCAGTTCAGTTCAGTTGTTCAGTCGTGTCCGACTCTTTGCGACCCCATGAATTGCAGCATGCCAGGCCTCCCTGTCCATCACCAACTCCAAGAGTTTACTCAAACTCATGCCCATCGAGTCGGTGATCCCATCCAGCCATCTCATCCTCTGTCATCCCCTTCACCTCCTGCCCCCAATCCCTCCAAGCATCAGGGTCTTTTCCAATGAGTCAACTCTTCGCATGAGGTGGCTGAAAGTACTGGAGTTTCAGCTTCAGCATCAGTCCTTCCAGTGAACACCCAGGACTGATCTCCTTTAGGATGGACTGGTTGGATCTCCTTGCAGTCCTCATCAAGAGGCTTTTTAGTTCCTCTTCACTCTCTGCCATAAGGGTGGTGTCATCTGCATATCTGAGGTTATTGATATTTCTCCCGGCAGTCTTGAGATCAGGCACTGACAAATTTCCGTGTCTGGTAAGGACCCTCTTGGTGACTTGTAGCTGTCTTTTTTGCTGCATCTTCACCTGGTCACTAATCCCATTTATGATGGCTCCACCCTCATGATCTGATCAGTTCTCTTCACATACTGTCATCACCTGGGGATTAGGGTTCACATGTGATTTTTTTTTTTTTTTTTTTTGGCTGCACTGAGTCTTCGATGCAGCATGCAAGATCTTCAATCTTTATTGGCCGCCTGCAAACTCATAGTGGTGGCATACGAACTCTTAGTTTTAGCATGTGAGATCTAGTTCCCCAACCAGGGATAGAACCTGGGCCACCTGCATTGGGAGTGTGGAGTCTTAGCCACTGGACCATCAGGGGAGTCTCTCACATACGAATTTTGAACACAAACATTCAGTCTATGGCAGAAAGCAAGAATGAAAGTTCTAGTCTTGAGTACTTCTGAAGATGGCAAGCCAGGGCTTGGGGCACAGAGTGTGGTTGGGGTTAACATCTTTTATAATCTGACCCTGTTTTACCTCTCCTTTCCTCCTGCTCTTCCTCACCTGTAACTGTTCACTGTTTACCCAGGGACCTCTGGCTTCCCGGCACTTCTCATGCTGTTCCCTCTGCTCACTGCCCCCTGCCCCCTCCCCAATCTTCCAAGACCTATTTCAAATGTTCTTGTGCCGCAAGCAGGTACTGCCATTGCTTTGTGTTATAATTACTTGTGTTGCTGCTTCTACTCTGGAGACTTTTTGAGGCTGAGGGTGTTCCCTTCTTTTTAGACAGCAGGCGGTCCTGCAGTATGCTGCCGCTGCTGCTAAGTCGCTTCAGTCGTGTCCGACTCTGTGCGACCCCATAGACGGCAGCCCACCAGGCTCCCCCGTCCCTGGGATTCTCCAGGCAAGAACACTGGAGTGGGTTGCCATTTCCTTCTCTAATACCTGAAAGTGAAAAGTGAAAGTGAAGTCGCTCAGTCGTGTCTGACTCTTAGCGACCTCATGGACTGCAGCCTACCAGGCTCCTCCGTCCATGGGATCTTCCAGGCAAGAGTACTGGAGTGGGGTGCCATTACCTTCTCTGGTCCTGCAGTATAGACAGCTTGCAAATGTTTGCCTAGAATAAGGGCAGGGGAGAGACCCCCATTGCAAACTTTCTACTTTGTAGGTTTTCTAAGAGACTTGGACATTTCCCAGCCTGCACTTGAGTCTGTTCGTGTCAGAGCAACCAGGAACCCCTCTGCAGACAGCCTGCCTCCCCGGGGTGCAGGTTTGGGTTCCTTTAACCTGTTCGGGGTCTGAGAGCACCGGCCTGAGGGTAGGACCTGTCTGTGACATTCACCCAGGGGTCCCCAGTGCCTGCAGGAGCAACTGGCTTGGAATAGGTGCCTGTGAACTCTTGCTGGGTGGATGGATGGATGGATGAAGGGGATTGTTTAATTGTCATGTGTCATCATACAGTGTTCAGGACACTTGAGACCCCCCAGTGAATGCGGGCCTCCCACATTAATGAGGGATTTGGGGTGTATCGTCCAAAGTGCTGTCAGAATTGGACCGTGGGTAGGGCCGTTTTAGGGCTGTTGATGTAACTGTGGGGCTGAGACTGCCCGACAGGGAGGAACCTGTGAAGAAGGAAGGAAACCCTTCTGGTGACCCAGAGGCAGGACAAATCTAGCACCTTCAGAACTGAACGTCTCCCCCAGCTGGGCTGAGGAGGGCCCCCGATGGGGTGACAGGGTGGCTGATGGGCAGCCAGGGAGGGGGGGTTTAGAGCTCAGGAGTGAGGTCCTGCACGCTGAGTTTCTGGCTGGAGACTGGCTGGGGGCTAAGGAGGAGCTGGGTGGCCAGGGAGGCCTCCGCTCGTGTGGGTGGCAGCTGGGCCCAGGTGGCCTCAGGGGAGGTAGTTGAGCTGGACCAGGAACAGGGGCTGGAGTTGGTGCCACCTTTCCCCAGGCTTCTGGGGGCGGAGGGGCCCTGAGTCCCTGAGGCCTCAGCTCTGCTCCCCCGTGGCCTGCCCCCACAGGCTTGGCTCTACCTTTGGGTCCAGGATCCCCAAGGAGTGCAGGTTGTGGGACCTTAGAGAACACCACGCACCTGGGAGGACCCTGGGCTCCTCCCAGGGTCAGGAGCCTGGGAAAACAGCCCCATTTCACAGGCACTGAGCGCTTGCTGTATACACGGAGCCCGTCCCCTGGACCAGGCCCCGTGAGAGGAGGGAGCCTCACCACCCAATGAGGGTTAGACCCATTTTACAGAAGGGGCATCAGAGGGGGAGGGACTTGCTTGTGACCTCACTCGTGGTCAGTGAGGGAGCCAGACCAGAGACCCTGGGGCCTCAAGAGCTGTGCTGAAGCTGGGCCCTCTGACCCTCACAGGCAAGAACTGTGCCCGCCCCCCCCTAAGGCTGGAAAGAGCTTGGCCTGTGGCAGAGAGAGGTATCAACCTGCAGGAGGGTATGAGCTTAGTGATGCTTCTGAGGCCAGCCGCTCTGCTTCCATGAGCTTCTCAGAACTTCTTTAATCAGTCTGTAAGTGAGGTGAGCATCTTGCCTGGGTCTGCACCGTCCTGAGTTACTGTTGTGCCGACTGTGCCTGGGGTCAACCAGGCCTGGGTTCAGACCCCACCTCCGTCACCTACTCACTTTATGAACTCACGGAGTTTCTTAGTCTCTCTGCACCTCGAATTCCTAACTTGTGAAATGGGGCAAGACCTCCTGCTTCCAGAGGTTTTGGTAAATGAGGTGAAGTACGTAAAGTGTAACTGGGTGTGACTATAACGCTCCTGCCCTCTGCAGGGAGGGAGACCCCGGCCATTGGAGTGGATGCTCTGGGTGCGGCCACAGTGGAGCCCTAGACGGTGTGGCGGGGTGCAGGGGTGGGGATCCCACTCGGCATGCTCTGCAGCCTGTGGGTGGGGCCCAGGACTGGGGCAGAGGCTCTTTGCAATAAGGTGGTTTTAGGGTTTTCTTCCTGCACACGGTCGGAAAGGTGCTGAGCACAGAGCAAACAGGAAAAGCCAAAGCACCTTCACACTGTCCCCAGAAACGTGAGCAAGCACAGCCAGCCTCCCTTGCCCCCCGCTCTAACCGCCTGCCCTTCTCCCCTAGCGCTCCTGCGGGAGGAAGTGTCCCGGCTCCAGGAGGAAGTCCATCTTCTCCGGCAGATGAAGGAGATGTTGATGAAGGACCTGGAGGAGTCGCAGGGTGGCAAGTCCTCTGAGGTCCTCTCGGCCACGGAGCTCAGGGTCCAGCTGGCCCAGAAGGAGCAAGAGCTAGCCAGAGCCAAAGAAGCCTTGCAGGGTGAGTGACAAGTCGGGGACAGCTCCCGCCTCTCCCTCGCCTGGGGCCCAGCCGGGGCCACGGGGGACACCACGAGCCAGGGTCCTGCGTCTGCAGGGGGAGTGACATGGACCCGGGAGTCTCCCAGCACGGGCTGCCCCTTCCTTCTTGGGTGGAATCCTGTGTCGTGCTGGGTCGGGTACAGGTGTCATTCCATCCTGAGTTGTGACCACCTCAGGTTCTCCATCACGGCCGATCATGGGGCACCTCCCTCCAAGGCGTGATTGGCAGGTAGTCAGTTATCTTTGCTGACCCAGGGCGCTGCCCCAGCAGTTGGGTCTCCTCTTTCCCAGAACTCTCCAGGTCCTGTGGTGCCTCCCCTGCAGGACAGTGTGGATGTGTGGGGGTCTGTGCTGGAGGACACGTCTGTCCACCACTTCACTCATGCTTGCCATGGTGGGCTCCCCAGAGGAGGGCTTGGCCTCTTCTTGCTTTTACTTGGTCTGAAGGAGCTCCCCTCTAAGAAATGCAGCACGCAGCCCTGGGTCGGGGGAGGAGCTGGGAGAGAAACCACTTGAGGAAACCGGAGGTCAGTGGGCCCACGTGTCAGCTGCTTTCCTTAGAGCTGGCCTGGATACCGGCGTCTGGCATAGCCCTCTCTCCTGGGAGCCTCCTGTCCACAGTGTGTCTCAAAAGGTTATTTGAGAAAGATTGGAAGCCTTCTCCGAATAGTCCTGCAACAGGAAACATTGGGGGAGAAAATATTTGGGGAGGTCTACCTTGATCTCTTGAGCCTCTCTTAGTATCTTTGATTCTCCTGGGGAGGGAAGAGGCAATAAAGCTTGGCAACCTCCTTCCCACTTACCACTGACTAGAACCGATAAATACTCTGAAGACTTTGTTTCTGAAGCCAAAGCAGGTTTATTCCTTATGTTGATTTCAGCCTGCTGTAGCAAAGACCCCAAAACAGGGTGGCTTAAAGAATCTGTTTGTCCCTTTCTTCTGTAACCGTCTCAAGGGCATTTCAGGCTGGTGGGCATCTCTGCTCCCCTTGGCCTGTGATGGGTCCAGGGAAAGAGCTGAAGTTCAAGGTCAGAGAGTGTCTTTGGCAGGAGTGTGATCATATGGCTGGGCCTGGCTGCAGGGAGTGCTCGGGGTCTGTGTCCCAGCTGCAAGGCTCCCGAGGGTTGGGAGTGGGGGGTGGAGAAGGAGAAGGGATTTTGCTAGATGGTTAGTTGACTCTATCCTCCTGGGTTTCTCTGACCGGAGGGGTGAAGTGAGCAGCAGAACACTGGTTAAGCCAACTGTCTGTCCATCACCCCACCACCCAGGAAGCTCAGGAAACCATTGAGCCCTCATCCAGGTGTTCCAGCCCCTTTCTGTATCCTTCTCAGCAGTACACATTATTTTTCTGGTGGGCCCACTTGGACAGTGTTCAGGGTGGTCTGTTCAGGCCATGGCGGGCAGGTGGTCTGTGTCATGGTCCAGCTGATGCTGCATGATCAGAAGTCCCTGTGCCAGGCATGCACTTTCTCTACACAAGCCTCTTGCAGTCCAGGCAGATCTGTGTGAGCCCCCTCCACTCCCAGCTTCCCAGAGGCCCTGGAACATCCCTACCTTTCTCAGGAAGGAGAACCCAAGTCTCAGGAGTCTCCCATACTGGGCAAGTGTTCCTGGCTTGGGACATGTGAGCTGGTGTCCTTTGGTCTTGCCAGGCTTTGCAATCCTGCAGAGAGTTGGGAAAGCAGCCAGACACTGTCTCAGCCCCCTCAGCTGGTGTTCATTGCAGGACAGAGACACCTGCCTTCTGTGTCCTGGGCCAAGGAAAGAGCTCTCACCCTTATTCTGCCTTCTGGACCAGTGAGGAGGAGGACTCCCTCTGTCTGCTGTTCCAGGGCCCAGGGGAATGGGCAGGGAGGCTCATTTACCCTCCACTCCCCAGGTCCTAGGACAGACGGCCTACACTCTCCAGAGCTCAGCTTTCTGATCTGACTGATGGGACAGTAACAGTGAGTTACATGTGGTTGTGTCTGTGAAGGCTGTTACCATGATGTGCATCCTTCTCTGTGTAGCCCACGGAGCACAGAGCTTTGCAGGAATTTCTTTCCAACTCTGTGCTGTGTGATTTCTTATCCATCCCCAAAGGTCTTCAGGGCCTTGCTCAGGGACCCAGAGATCCCCTTGATGGGGCAGCTCCTTTGTAGGAACAATAATTTCATCAAGAAGGATTTGTCAGTATTCATTCAAGGAAAGCTTTATTGAGCACCTACTGTGTGTTCCAGCAGGCTTCCCTGGTGGCTCAGATGGTTAAGAGTCTGCCTGCAGTGTGGGAGACCCAGGTTTGAACCCTGGGTCGGAAAGATCCCCTGGAGGAAGGAATGGCCACCCACTCCAGTATTCTTGCCTTGGAAAATCCCATGGATGGAGGAGTCTGGTAGGCTACAGCTCATGGGGTCACAAAGAGTCGGACACGACTGAGCGACTTCACTTTCTTTTTTTTCTACTGTGTTCCAGCCCTGTTCTATGCACTTGGTCTACCATTCACCCCAGTCCTCTGGGAGGCACTAACCATTTCACAGATGGAGACAGCTGAATGAGGTTCAGGGAGATTAAGGAACTTGGCCAAAGTAACAAGCTAATGATCAGCAGGGTCCAAAACTTTATCCACTGTGCTAAACCCCTTTCCTTCCCTCTGGATGAGGTCACTGGGGATGAAGTCAGCCTGGACAGGAGAGACTGGAGGCCACCCTACCTCAGTAATAGGGACAGCAGATTCTGGAGTCAGATCTGGGCTTGAATCCCAGCTCTGTCACTTACTAGCTGTGTGACCTAGGGCAGATTCCTTAACCTCTCTGGACCATAATTCTCTTGCAGAAGGTAACAATACCTGTTTTTCTTATAATTGAGACCAGTTATAACTGGTAGCTACTTCACAGAATTCTCGGGAGGATTAGAGATATGAAGCACTTGGCTCAGTGCCAAGTACCATTAGTGCAAATATTTAGTGATGATCAGATGAGAGGGGGCTTAGCAGACCTCCTTGGATCTCTTTGGAGACGCTGGTCACCTGATTCTCATTCGGGGTGGCCCAGACCCTAGACCCCCTGAGCCCATCTGCGTTCAAGGTAGCAAGCAGTGAGGTGAACACCTTCAGCAGCCTTAAGCATCCTGCCTGGCATTCTACAAAGTCACAAAGATGCTTCCTCCCTGGCCACAGCACGTGGTGAGTAAATTGCAGACAGATGTGGGCAGGAGACTGGGGCATGAAAAGGGATTTATATGCCCTTAATGAGAAAGATGAGAATAAATGCACCAGCCAAGAAAGCTGCAGATGTTGGATGACACTTGTTAACAACCAGTGTCCCTATGATGGGAAAATGCAGAACCCCCAGAGACTTCCACTCTGGTGGTCCCCACCCGGCCACCCTCAGTCTGGTAGCTTGGGGTTGGTTGAAACTAGAATTTTTTTTCTTTTTTTAACATTTCTATATTTATTTAGTTGCACTGGGTCTTAGTTGCAGCACACAGGATCTTCAGTCTTCGTTGAGACATGCTGGATCTTTAGTTTCAAGATCAGGGATTGAACCCAGGCTTCTTGCTGCACTGGGAGCTCAGAGTCTTAGCCACTGGACCACGAGGGAAGTCCCAAAACGCATTTTTCAATACGTGAGAAGATTAGGAACCCAAGCAAACACCCGAGACATCAGGCCATGATTCCAACATCAAAGAATCCAACAAAAAGAATCAAGTCTGGGGGAACTGGGGTTTAGAAGGTTCTGCCGGGATGAGTCTGGGAATGTTTGGTTTAGGACTTTGGTCTCACCCTGAGTTCAAAGGCAGAAGCTCTGAATGATCGTTTAATAAGGAATGGTGTCGTTGAGTTTGTAAACTTACCCCCGAGTCCCTGCGTGGCCCCAGCCCTACACACGTGGTGAGCTTGTTGCCTGGGGGACTCCTTTAGGGTGTCTTGATTTCCCCCTCAGTTTCACTGATTTCATTCGAGATTCAAGGCATTACAGAAACAATGATCATGAAAATTTCCTTCTTCCCTTTTATAATCACTTAACGGCATGTCGAGTGTGTTGAGCATTTTCCCACAAGGATAAATCCTCCTTGAAAACATAATTTTTAATGACTCCATAATGTTCTGCCAAATGGAAGCCCTGTAATTTATTTAGCCACTTTTCTGTTATTGGACATTTAAGTTGTTTCCACTTTTATTTTCTTTTCATTCTTGCTGTTATGTAGCACTGCACTATACAGATCTGTGTTAAATCTGTTTCTTAGGACAGCATTTTTCAAACCTTCTGGTCTCTGGACCACTTTGCACACATGAAATTGATGACCCTAAAGAGCTTTTGTTTATGTGGTTTAGAGCTATCAGTGTTTGCTATTTTAGAAATTAAAATCAAAACATGTCTATATTATCAGTAATTTATTTTAAAATAACAATACTAAACCTATTACATGTTAGCATCATTTTTAAGTGAAAAATGACTGCTTTTTCCTAAATAAAAAGACTTGAGGGTGAAAGGGAGCATTGTTTCACACTTTTCCAAAAATTTTTAATGTCTGACTCCATAGAAGACTGCTGAGTTTTCAGTTACTCCTCAGTCAAGTTACTGTGATCTGTTGTTTTGATTGAAAATCTAGCATCACACAGATATATATCTGGAAAATGGAGGAGTAAATTAATTATCTTACTAGATAACTGTGGATATTTCTCTTGATGCCATACTGCTGCTGCTAAGTCGCTTCAGTCGTGTCCGACTCTGTGCGACCCCATAGACGGCAGCCCACCAGGCTCCTCCGTCCCTGGGATTCTCCAGGCAAGAATACTGGAGTGGGTTGCCATTTCCTTCTCCAATGCATGAAAGTGAAAAGTGAAAATGAAGTCGCTCAGTCGTGACCGACTCTTTGCGACCCCATGGACTGCAGCCTACCAGGCTCTTCCGTCCGTGGGATTTTCCAGGCAAGAGTACTGGAGTGGGGTGCCATTGCCTTCTCTGTGATGCCATACT